GAAAGTGTTAAACAATATTTACATAAGGCGAATTTACCCCAGATTTCAAAAGATACTGAGATAATGCTAGAAGGAAATATAACGATGATGGAACTGACTGAAGCAATTAAAAAACAAAATATTGGGAAGGCGCCAGATCCAGATGGATTGCCCGTGGAGTATTATAAGACTTTTCAGGAAACACTGAGTCTCCCATTACTAGAAGTTATGAATGAAGTAATGTTAAAGAAGGAAATACCCAAAACATGGTTAGAAGCATATATTACACTTATCCCAAAGGAGGATGCTGACCCACAACAAATCAAAAATTACAGACCTATATCCCTGCTAAATTCAGATTATAAAATCTTTGCTGCAATATTGGCAGAAAGATTTAAAAGATATTTAAATAACTTTATACATTCGGATCAAAATGGATTTTTACCAAAAAGACAGATCAGAGACAATTTGAGGATAATATTGGACACTTTGGAATATTATGAGGCACATCCGGAAAAGCAAATGGCTTTGATGTTTTTAGTTCTAACACAAGCTGAAATAGTGTGCCTTTTGAAGCTTTTGAAACAGAAATAAGAACAAGATAATTGAGACAATATCAACAGCCTTGCTTGGGAGCTTTTTTCTTTTTCTTTTCTTCTCTTGGCTGTTTGCTTGGGGGGTTTTAGGACGTTACCATTATTTGATTATTTTTTTATTCTTTTTTCTCTCTCCTTGACTATTTTTATTGATTGGATTGTGTTTCATTTTTTCTTTTTTTTTCCTTCTCTTTTTTTCCCTTTTTGCATTAATAGATACAGGATTTTTAGTAGTTTTTCCCCCTCTTTTCTTGGTTGGTTGGGGTTTTTTTTGAGTATTTGAATATCAATAATACATAAAAATTGGATTAAGGTCAGAAGAAACTGAAGAATTAGAAGTTTTGGGATTTTTAAACCCTTTTTTGGCTTTGTTTTTGGACTTCTTCTATTTTTGCTTTTTGCTTTGTGTTTTTGGTTTGATGAAGTTTTTTGGTTTCTACTTTTAACTAATCCATCCAACGGGGTGGATTAGGTATTTGGATTATAAATTCAAGTCATATTTGGATTATAAATTCAGTGGTTTATAGTATACAAAATGGGACAAGATGAAGAAGACAACAGCACAGTTACCTTCCACAACATCAACTTCAAGCCCATTGTGCTGCTGGCCCCTTGCTCGGGAAGGTGAATGCTGGTTGTGCCAAGGCCCACTCTGGCAGCTCAGTGCCAGCATGCTGGGGTGTCCCATTTACTCTGAGTTGGCTCAACTGCTCCGGCAGACCAGGTAGGGATTGGCTGCGTGATGGCGGTGGGAGTCCCCATTCCTCGGAGTGCTGGCGGTGCGGTGGCTGCGATAATTCCATCGTGGTTCTCACATCGCTCCTCGAATCAGGGTGACTCCACTGGCTTCACTTTACACTGCTAGGTCCTGCTGCAAGCTTCGCTTTGGCAGTTGCTCCTTAGGCCAGGCACCCAGTCGGTGGGCAGCCTCTGCAGCCTTTATCGCTTCCATCATCCCTGATTGGGGGGGGTCAGTTCTCTTCAAAGTTCTGGAAAGCTTTTTTGGGCCTTCTAGGTGCTGGACAAGGCCTGAGTTCGAGTCATCATCCTTCTACTAAGGATGATGATGGCGGATTGGAGAGAACTAACAACATTCTAGAGCAATATTTGAGATGTTTTATTAATTCTCAACAATTGGACTGATCTCTTGCTCTTTGCATACAATATCTCTGTGCATTCTAGCACTGGGTTCACCCCATTCCGAGTTGCAACAGGCCAGGATTTCATCCCAATGTCAGAGCTCCCAGGAGAGGAGCCAACCATACCCTCCCTTAAAGAGTGGATACAACAACTGCAAAACACTTGGCCAGTAGTAAGATTGGCTCTGAGCGAGTCTAGGGCCACTTTTAAAGCTCAGGTGGACAAAAAAAGAATGGAGCCAAAACCTTTTAAAATAGGGGATAAATTCTACTTATCCACCAAGTTCCTACAGTCCTTGCAACCCTCCAAAAAGTTGGGACCTAAATTCATAGGACTTTTCCCTATAACTAGGATCATTAACCCAGTGACAGTGGAATTACTCCTTCCCAAAACACTTAGGCAAGTCCACCCAGTGTTTCTCTGCAGCCTGCTGAAGCCAGAAATTACCTCACCCCTAAGTCCACCTGCAAACATTCCTCCAGTCCCTATCATGATTGAGGGGGAACAACACTTTGAGATTAAGGAAATCCTAGACTTTCGCACACACCACAGCTCCACACAATATCTAATAGCCTGGAAGCATTTACCCCCCTCCCAGAATGAGTGGGTACTAAAAAACTTGTTAGGGCCCCTGCATTACTGGAAAAGGTCCACTCGCAGTACTCTGACAAACCCAAATAACTCACTATGCTGTTTCTCTTGTACTTTCTTTACAGGTGGACCCCCTCATTTTTCTAAGGGGGGCAGCATGTCAGATCCCTATTACTGCCATTTCTGTGGGGAGGGGGGCTTGGATCATTTATTCACTTTATTACCCTCTTCCTGTTTCCTACATATCCTGTAATCCCTTAGTTTATAACTCTAACTCTGACACCTATCTGCCCTGTGCTTTGATTTACCTTTGGGGAATGTGTAAGCGGGGAGGGCCATCTGTTTTTTCTCAGTTCTGAAGCCTCCGGAGAGAAGTGCCTGGGAACACTCCCTTATCTCCTTTCCACAATGACCGTTTTCACAACATCTTCACACCTGTGGATTGGCTCATTCAACATTGGACTGAGGGGAAGGGTTTCTAACTCCTTTATCCTAACAGAATTGCGTAAGGGGACCTTAGAGCCTGCTTTGCTTTTGTCTTGCAATCGCTTCCTTTCAATAAAAGGTTCCTTTTGAAATGCTGCTGCTTCAAGAGTCCTTTCTTTCTTGATTTGGGGAGTAGAGGCAAGACCTTACATAATGTAATCAAAATGGTTATCAGGTTGATCACAGCCTCTATAGAAATGCCCCAAGAAATGATGGTCCTAGTTTTGCAATGGGCAGTGTGGACGGATGTTGAGTGGATAGCCACACTAAAGCTCCAATGACTAAAGAAGGACCTGCTTGATGGTGTTGATCTGCAAAATATTTGTAGTCCTCTTTACTTTTCTCCATTTTGTTTCGGGGCATCTGCTGGCTATATGAACTGATCAATCATGGGAACTAGGAAATCTGGAGAAGACAATGAGAAGAATTGAAGGTGGTATTCATAATTGACCAAAACCAACGACATCTGGGCAGTATGTGCTATGCATTGTTATACTCAAATTCTGCTAAGGCCAAGAAGTCTTTCTTGTTGCATTACTTGAAATTAACATTTTAGTGCAGATGCTAGGCACAGGAACCAAAATGACATTGTGAGCTGATCAAAGTTGCTTCTTTATTTTTGTTAGCCTATTTACAAGAATCTCACCAGACTAACTGTATTCTCTTGGGATCTGACAGATAAAAGGATTTTTAGGAATTTTTCTGGGATTTTAGGAATTGTTCTGCAGCATTTCTTCCCTTGGAGGGATTCCAAGCACACCAGTCTCTTTACCCCATGGAATATATTGTTCCAATATGGCATTAACTCATTCAATTCCACCATATAATTCTGGGTGATATACTGATGGGGAATGGAACAATTGGCAAAACTGCCTGCCCATGCCTGTTTCATGCTGCCCCCTCCCCGCAGACCCACCACTCCTCCCCCATCCCCTCACTCCAAGTGATTGACTGCAGGACAAATCACCGCTGATTCACCATGCAGGACAATTAGCTTCTAGTGGCTAATCAGTGCACCAAGAGATGGGCCTCTGCCTTCCCATTGAATATGACATGCAGAGAGGGTGCCAGGTTGGACAGGCAGCAGCCTCAGGCCATCCACTCTTGCAGCTGCTGCTTCTCCAGGCTCCAATGCTGTAGAATCTGGATTGCCTCTGGGGGAAGGATGAGCAAGAAGAGCAGCAAAGCCTTCCAGCACAGTGCAGAGGCTCTTGCAGAAATGTATGCCTCCACCTGGTGACCCCGGATGGCTGTGACTGCAAGACAAGGCAGCACTTAGTTCTGCTGCCCCTCCTTTGGGCATTGGGGCATTCTTGCTGTTGCCTTGATTGCCCTGCTGCATGGCAACATCTTCTGAAAAAGGTGTTGTAAGTAAAAGAAAGAAACAGTTTAAAGAGTAAAGACATAGGCAATGAAAACAAGATCTCTGGTACAACTCTCTCCCTCCCCCTTCACCCTCTCTCTCATACACACATATACATACATACACATGCCAAAGAACACACTTTAAAAAGAACACTCCCCAATAGTGATGAGCTCCCTTTTTGCTCATCTTTCACAGCAAAGGAGGGTATGGCTAGCATCGTGGTGAGATGACGCATCCCTTGGGAGCTCCAGGCACAGCGCCAATATCAAAGCTGCCAGGCAGTGGTGGGATTCAGCCAGTTCGCACCACTTCGGGAGAACCGGTTGTTAACTTTCTGAGCAGTTTGGCAAACTGGTTGTTGGAAGAAATCATTAGGGCAGAGAACTGGTTGTTAAATTACTTGAATCCCACCACTGCTGTCAGGTGGTCTGTTTGGACCATGAATTGCCTTGAAGGGGCGATGAATGAAGAGAGCTCACTCTGCTGATCTCAAGGGAGTCCATAAACTCCCTTATTGATCCAAAGAAAGCTCTCAAACCCGATGGAGTGGAAAAGATGGCTACTGCATGCCGGACCAAAGCTGGGGCAGCCACAGGAAGGAAGCATTGAAGACAGACTGTCAGTGTGATCAAACTGGGTGAGAGATTTCCAATTTTAAATTCTTACCAAATAGTGGAGTGAAAGTTCCCCTGAGAAGTAGTTGGTGAAAGTGGGACCCAAAAGAGGAGGTGGATCTGTTTTTTCTTTTTGACCCCCACAGAAAAGCAGCGAGAAGAGTTTTAGAGCCATTTTGAAACAGGAAGTTAAACTGGAGAACTTTTATTTTTATTTTTATTTTTTTGAAATATTTTTTTATTTATTTTTAAACATCTTAAACATAAAATACATCTTTTAAGGGCAAAGGTTTGGTCCGGTATTAAATAAGTACACTTGCTCACACTTCTTTAACCAATTTGATTCCAAATTTCATCCATTTACATCTTTAAAGAAAAAGAAATGAAATCACCAATTTTTTATCATACATTCTAACATCTTATTCTAATCACTTGGCATTCTATTATATCACCATAAATCTTAAATCCCAAATAAACACAGCTCCTTTTTTATATATACAATCTTTCATTTCCAAATAAACACCATCCTACATTTTTGTCATTTTATCCATCAAAGTTCCATATATATTCCTTAATCATAAGACCCATTTCATCAAATCTATATTTTAACCTCTATTGAATTACATCTAATTTCTTTAATCCTGTCATGAAATATACTTCTTATTTTACATAAAATCACTTCAAGATCAGTTCACATTATCATTCATTCCATGTTTCCATCCATGATTTTATCTAGTTCCTAGTCTACTTTATTTTAGCTGGTTTCCAGCGTATTCTCCATTACTACTAAATCTATTATTTAGCTGGATCACAACTAAGTTAGTTGTTTTCCAGCATATTCTACTCCACTCCTCTCGCTGATTACCAGCATGTTCTCCTCCTCTCCTAAGTCTGTTATTTAGCTGGTTCACAGCAAGCTGTTTTCCAGCATAGTCTCCTTCATTCCTCCCGCTGATTGCCAACATAATCTCCTCCACTCCTAAATCTATTTGTCACTGATTACCAGCATGCTTTCCTCCACTCCTAGCTCTGTTTGTTTGGCTGGTTCACAGCATTTTAGTTTAACTGCTCCCCAGTATAATATTCTCCACTCCTTCTGCTGATTGCCAGCATAATCTCCTCCACTCCTAAATCTATTTATCGCTGATTACCAGCATGCTTTGGCTGGTTCCCAGCATTTTGTTTTAATTGTTCTCCAGCATAATTTCCTCCACTCCTTCCGCTGATTACCAGCATAGTCTCCTCCACTCTAAGATCTATTGTTGCTGATTACCAGCATGCTTTCCTCCACTCCTACATCTATTATTTTAGCTGTTTTATTTTAACTAATTCACAGCATATTACATAAATTGCTTTTCCAATATATTTCAATATATAAACTGGAGAACTTTTAGAAGAGAGTAAAAGTATTCTGTATTTAAAAGCTGGACTGGATACCTCAAATATATTACTGGACTGGACTGCATAGAAGTTTTGAATACCACAATACTTGGATAAATAGATCTGCCTTTTTTGTTATTATTATTTTTTCTGAAATTTAAACTGGAATACATTGTTTGAAAGAGAAAAGATAGAGAGAGAGAGAGAGAGAGAGAGAGAGAGAGAGAGAGAGAGAGAGAGAGAGAGAGAGAGAGAGAGTAGCAGAGCTAGAGTGCCATCTACTGGCAAAAGATGGAAGTGGAAGCTGGGAGCTGCAGGCATAATCTTGAGAAACTGTGTAAATATAGATAAGAATTGATTGCCAGAAAAATAACTTTGGTGTTATAAATTGGTCAGACTGAACAACTAAGATAGAGAGCATAGTATGGAGAGGTGTGATTTTTTAAACAGCCTAGCTCTTGAAACTCAAAGGGACATACAAGCAGTAAAAGATTTTATGTTTTCCTTTTCTTTCTCTCTCTGGCCCTGTGGACTCTGTGAACTGCTCCTTAGGGAATACAAATCAATTGGGTTTGGTGGGCATATGTGGATTACAATTTATTGATACATCATCCCTTTTTGTTGGATATTAAAGGATTAGGGTCTGAAGAACCTGAAGAAAACAACAAGAAGAAGGGGGTTAAAAAATTGGAATTTTTTGGATTATAAATTATCCTTGATTTTTTTTCTCTCTCTCTCTTTTTCCTGTTTTCCCTCCCTCTATTTTTATCCTTGGATTATAACTAATAATTACACTCTCTTCCCCTTGTGGATTATAATTATTACAAAGACTTAAGAGAGGAAAACACCATCAGCACAATCGTCAGTGTCCTCATCAGCAGCTTTGAGTCCTTTACTATATGTTGCAAGATATAAGAAGCAGAGGAGGTTTTGAACTACCGAACTGGGAACTGTATTATCAGGCTGCTGTATTAACAAGGATGAAAGATTGTATTGTATTGAGGAACACAAGATTATTGACTTTGGAAGGTCATGACTTACAATTGGGGTGGCACACTTTCCTGTGGTATGGGAAAAACAAGATACTTGGATATTTTCAGAGACATTATATAAGAAATATATTAATGTTGGTGTAGGAGAAAATCAAAGAACAACATTACTTGAGGATACCAGTTTGGCGTTCAACAATGGAAGCATTGATTCACCCAAATGTTATTAACATGGGAAATATTGTTAGATACAAAGATATCTTGAAAGAAAAGGGGGAACTTAAAAACGAAAGAAGAAATGAGTGAGCAAGGGATCGATATAACATGGTACTCACAAGCACAGATACATTCTAGGTATGAGAAGGATGTTAAATTGCAGGGTTTTGTTAAAGAACTAACAGGATTAGATGAATTTTTAACAGGAACAGAAGAAAAATTGATAAAGAAGCTGTACAGTTATTTATTGGGTATAAAGTTGGAAGAGGAACAAGTAAAGGAGACAATAATAGCATGGCGAAAAATTTTGGTTACACGATAGAACTAGATAAATGGCAGAAATTGTGGGACAGGAATTGTAAATGCAGAATGTCAACTGCATATAAAGCTAACTTGTATAAGATGTTTTATAGATGACACCTTGCACCGCCGAGGTTGGCAAAGATGTTTAAAAATCAGCTAAATGTTGGAAGTGCCACCAGATATCTGGATCTTATTATCATATATGGTGGACATGTGGAGAAGCAAAGAAGTATTGGACAAAAATAAAGACATAGTTGGAAAAGATGACAAAACAACATATTGAGTTAAAACCAGAAATATTTCTGCTGGGGATCTTACCTGAAACCTATAATAAAGAGAATTGCATATTTAAATATTCATGTATTAACTGCAGCTAGAATTGTATTTGAACAACATTGGAAACATTGATGAGAAGGTGATTAGGAAAATATTAGAATGTGCAGAAATGAACAGATTGACACTAGCAATTAAGGAGAGAGAACAAACTGAATATTATACAATATGGGAAGTATTTTATCATTGGTTAGAGAATAAAAAAGGAATTTAGAAATGAAGAAGACTAAAGAAAAATAGAAAATATATTAAGATAGAGATATAAATAAGATGACAATTGTTAGCATATGTATGACGAGAATAACTATGTTCAATATTATTATTGTACTATTATTAGAAGATAGTAAGAAGAAAATGAAGAGTTTTATAATGTTTAATTGTTTAATGTATTGTAATTTTAAAGTTTACAGAAGTAACGTTAATGTGAATGTGAATGATGTTGCAAATGTTGAAGGATGTTGCACAGAGATAATTGTACCCAGATGACACACTGCTTAAGGAAAGATGGAATGTATGTATTTTAAAAATTGAAAAATAAAAAGACTTTTTTAAAAAAGGAGAAGAGAAGGGGAATCCTTGCAGCTCACCCAACTACAAGCTTAGTTAATGCAGTCTGCTGTATTGTGTAAAACATGACCTTTTATGGCCACCACTACTCCTGCGTTCCAGCATTCTGGTCCAAATTCATCTTTTTGATTGTGTAGCATTGATCATGGCTCCTTTAAGGCAAATTTACTCTGGATTTAAGGCTTGCAGCATTTTGCAGCATACAATGACAGCATTGGTGCCACATGGAACGGAGAGGGCAAGCTCTTCCCCTTTCTTGTACCTCCCTCCCTTGGCTAGGTGGGTGGGCTTGCCCTCCTCCCCTACAGCGCCAGCCCCAACCCCACCCCTTGGCAAGCCATTCCAGCTTTTGCAAGCAGGTGTCTGCTGCAGCTCCTGCCCAATTTCCTCCTCTCTCCCTCTCCTGCATGAAGAAGGAAGCTCTGTCTGGGGTCTCGTTACCCAGGTCCCTAGTTAGGTGGGCAAGGAGGGAGCTGCTTCCCCTTCTCCCAGTCTCAGATCTGAGCTGATTCTAATGGGAACTGGCATAAAGCTGGTGTAGCCAGGTGCCTGAAACCAATTTGCATAGACTCAGGCGACTTTGGATCCCCAAGTTCTTTTTTTTTAAGTTTTTTTATTTATACATTTTTCTTTAATATATATAAGTGCTTAATAAAGAAGTCTGAGTCAATTTACAAATAAATAGTATTAACAGTACTAACATTCTTTATTTATATATAATGATATTCTTCCAATTTCTAATTTCTAACTTTATTATCTAACCATTGGTAAAACAAATCCCATTTCCACACAGTCTAGTATTTTTCTAATTATATTTTTCTCTGCAGGAGTTTCCTCATTTTTTCAATGTTGTGCAAATACAATTCTCGCTGCTGTCAAAACATATAATATTAAATAAACATTTCCTTTATCATATTTTTCTAGCAGTATACCTAACAAGAATATTTCTGGTTTTAGGTCTATATATTGTTTTATCATTTTCTCTAGCCATGTATGTATTTTTGTCCAATTTTTTTTTTCCTTTGGACATGTCTACATATATGGTAATATGAGCCCGGTGTGTAGTTACATTTCCAACATTCAGACATGTTTTTAAACATCTTTGCTAGTCTTTCCTTATACATAGTTGCCATTGTCAGTTTATAATTTCTATCCCAGAGTTTTTGCCATTTATCTAATTCTATTGTATATCCAAAGATTTTTGCCCATACTATCATTGTTTCTTTCCCTTGTTTGTCTTCCATTTTAAGGCTTAATAAATAGCCTGGATAGTTCCTCCCTCCTGGCTGCTTTGAGGAGGGAGAGGGCTTCTTCCCAGCCTCATTTTCTTCACTCCCCCTTCCCACTAGATCATTGGGCCTCATTTGTCTAGCCAGGACAGTCCCAGGATTACAGCCTCCATCATTTTCCATACTATCATGAACCAGATAGTTTCCCAATGTTGGCCCATCTCTAGCTGCACTGGCTCAGTGTGTTGCAGGAGATCCATCTATCAGTGATCCATCGACCTGCTCAAACTTCATGGCTTGGGGCAGTCTCCTCACTCAGATCCCTAGCTTCAGCACTGTCAGTAGGCTA